GTGCTAGAACAGGAGAGCTTCATGAGAGGGAGGATGTCACAGAAGTAGTGGCTGATGAAGACCTCACAATAGTGCAGTTTTAACATGAGGCCAGTCTCTATTGTTGACCCAATGATTCCCATGGTATAGACCAGAGCCACCAGCAGGCAGCAGAGAGTATGAGACATGATGATGTGGTAGAACAAGGGGCGGCAGATGGCCACATAGCGGTCATAGGCCATCACCATGAGCATGTAACACTCAGCAATGACAAAAACAAGGAAGAAGTAGAGCTGAGACATGCACCCCACATAGGAGATGATGTTCTTGTTGTTTACAAAGTTGACCAACATTTTAGGGGTGATGACTGAGGAGTAGAAGAGATCCACAAAGGATAAGTTGCTGAGGAAGAAGTACATTGGGGTATGAAGCTGCTGGTTGAGACCAATCAGGGTGATCATGCCCAAGTTCCCCACCATGGTGGTCACATAGATTCCAAGGAAGAGGAGGAAGAGAGGGATCTGGAACTCTGGCTGGTTAGTTAATCCTCCAAGAATGAACTCAGCCACTGTTGAATGGTTTTCTGTAGCCATTTTCTTTGTGCAGGAAGCCTGTGGTGATGGGAGAGGAGATAGCTAGTGAGAGGCTGCTCTTCCTCTGATTTCTTTGTCCTTTGTCATCTCCTGAGCCAGCCTGGCTGGCTGCAGGGCTGGTGCATGTTTCCTTTACTCCTGTTGCTTGCTGAGAGCAGGACCAGTGATGAGTGTTGTAAAGATTCTAAAGGTGAGAGGAAAGAAGGAAAACCTTGGATCTCTTACTTGTTTTCCAATGTCTTAGATAACTGGTTCTCAATGTGTCTTCTGTGGTTCAGCATTATCACCTTCATCCTGACCTTGCTGGGGATGCCAATTCTCAGGTCTCACTTCACAGGTACTGATTCAGGAACACTAGGATGGATCTAGTAACTTACTCATTTTTAAATTTAAAGTTTATGAAGCTCTTCTTTATGATGATAAGTAGTATGTTTCATATATTTTAGTTGGAGATAGAAAATTCTTCACAAATTTATTCTTCTTTCATCTATGTAATTCCTAATATTCAATGATAAGCAACATGAATATTGAAATTGTCAATGTTATATATTAACAAGTTTTTTCATTTTTTTAAATTTTAAGTTGTTTCATTTAATGTCTTTTTTTTGTCAGTTGTGGAGCTTGAACTCTGGGCCTGGTTACTGGCCCTGAGCTCTTCAGCTCAAGGCTAGTGCTCTGCCACTTTGAGTCACAGTGCCACTTCTGATTTTCTGGTGGTTTATTGGAGATAAGAGTCTTACCGACTTTCCTGTCCAAGCTGGCTTTGAATCACGATCCTCAGGTCTCAGCCTTCTGAGTAGGTAGGATTACAGGCATGAGCCACTGGCACCCATCCATTTTTTATATTTAGTTATATCAACTCCAAGTTGGTTGTTAAAAATGACATAGGACCACATATTTAGCAATCTTTATTTCAAGCTCTAGATTCACCTTAATATGTAAGTTAATGTTAAGTGTCTGAGACTTTTTAAGGTATTCACTGGATGTGTCCTTCAGGTAGGTCTTTTCAATGTTAGGTTTATGTTTTAACTGCTTGTAAATTTAGGAAATATTGATGTCTAAATTTTACTCACCAACATATGATTAAATTGGTCTGTGGTTCCATTTATACTCCGGCATTTAGCCTTATCCTCAGTAGATGAATGCTCCATTGATGATTTATAATTATTATTATTCTCAGATTGCTATTAAAGCATGACATTATTTCATTGTCAATGGCAAACAAATTTTAGACAGGAAGATAGGAAGCATGGGGCATTTTTGGTAGATATGACACATATAGGCACTTCATCTTTGGGATGTATTTCTTTTGTATTTTTTTTTTTTCGTCCAGTAGTGGGGCCTGAACTCTGGGCCTGGGCACTGTCCCTCAGCT